CTTTGAAACTAGTCTGCTGTATTAAGAGTTAGTTAGTTAGTTTTGCTTTTGAAGATAGGCTCGCTGCTGCTTCTTTCACCCAAATATTTTCATTCTTATTTTCAGCTTAATGGGGCTGTTTCATAAATCAAACACTTCAGCTTACTTAGTTGTTATATATTTTAACATTATATTGGTTGTTCTCTTCTCTCCTGGGTTACTCATGGCTCCGTGCCAATATGGCTCCCGCCTCCGATCCATGCTGAGTGATTTCTTCAGAGGGAAGAAGTCCGGTTTTGCATCCCATTCTCCTCCTTCTGCTGCTCACCAACTGCTTCAGAGAGAATTCTCCTAGACTCTCCTTCGATCCCCATTTCAAAAAGGGGACCCCGGACCGGACGGTTCCAGTTTTTTCCAGAGAGCTCTTCTCTGGAGCTACTGGCAGCACCGCAACAAAGCCCCGCCTCTCTCCCTGTAAAATTTTGATTGAATTGCTACAAGAATTTATTCTAGCACTGAAATTTCAGTGTTGAGGTATTTTCTTATGGCAATTTAAAAATAAAGACTTTTAACAGTCACAAGAATCCCAAGCCTTCTGCAGGTGTTAAGCATTCATGTAAACTATATATAAGAGTGATTGGGGATGAGTGTGTTAGCTCCATCTTGTCACCATTTATGATCACATGCAGCAAATGGATGGCAACTGTGAACGGGAGGATATCTCCTGTCTCATCATAATATTGAATCCCAGAGATTTCATATCTACCATTAGTATGACTAAGTCTGATCTTATGCTATGCATGTTGTCTCAGTCTCTTTCTGCACATTGCTGTTAACGACCACTGTCATTAATACTGGTCTTTCTGGTGCGTGGCCCTGATCTTCCTGGGGACAGATGAAAGGGCAACATGATAAATAGGAGAGAGCTTATATCTATGGCCTCCACCCTTCTTGAGTGAGGGATTTTCTATATGCACATGTATGGCCTCCCTGACCCCTCTCTTAAACCACTGATCTTCTCAGTCCAAAATGAGTACATCTTGGTCATTAAATGAATGTCCTTTGTCCTTCAAATGAAGGAACATGGCTGATTGTGGTCCTGAGCTGTTGCCCCTGCTGTGCTGGGCCATTCTCCTGTTTAGTGGCTGTTTGGTTTCTCCAATGTAGAGTTCTGAACACTCCTCTTTGCCGTGGACCGCATACACTATATTATTCCTGTTGTGTTTTGGTGTCTGGTCTTTTGGGTGGACAAGTCTCTGCCTTAGTGTATTTGAAGTGCACGGGTATGTGGTGTTTACCAAAAATAATTTTGAGCTTTTCAGACACACCCACCATGTAAAGAACGACCAGGTTCTTCTGTCAGCTCTGGGTCTCAGACTGTATCATTGTCCTGCTGGGTCAGGACTCTGCCTTGTTAAAAGGCGATTTTGGATATCTACAGGCCTTAATTAAGAGCTGTCTTCAGATGTCAGTCTTCCTTCTTCTTGGCTTCTGTGGAGGTTGGCATGTTTCTTGCTCTGTGGTTTAAAGTCCTGATGACCCCTAGTTTGTATTGTAATGAGTGATGAGAGTCAAATTGCAAGAATTGATCAGTGTGTGTAGGTTTTCTGTAGATTTCTATTCCTCAGCTGCCGTTGGATCCTATGATGACTGCACAGTCCAGGAAAGCCAGCTGTCTTTGGTGTCTTCCCTGGTGAACCTGATATTTGGGCCCACTGCGTTGATGTGGTTTGTGAAGGCCTGTACTTCCTGAATCTTGATCTTCACCCAAGTGTCATCCACATACCTGAACCAATGGGTCAGAGTTATCCCCTGGAAAGTGTTTAGTGCCTTCTTTTTCACTTCTTTGATGTATAAGTTGGCAACAATGGACGACACCGGGGAACCCATGGGACAGCCATGTTGCTGTCTGTAAAAGTAACCTCTGTAGGTGAAGTAAGTGGTATTAACAATCCATAACAATTGGAGGAGAAGGACTGCAGAAGTGGGATTTTCACTCATCCCCCTTCCTTTGTCTATCTAACAAGCCTATTCAGGCCAGAGGGAAGTGAAACCAATGTGGAGGATGTATCAGAGGTCTCCTACCAACTCGCCTCAGACTGAAGAAGCTACTTGGATCAGTAGTGAAATGTTTCAGCCTAATAGGAAAGAAGTCCAGTTGCCATGACTCAACTTCCAGACATATTGGGTGTAGTTGGTTAGTTGGTGACCTTTGGATTACGTTAGGAACACTGATCCCAAACTGTCCAAAACATGAACCATTTCAGAATACACAAATAATGTTATATTTGTCTCATTTGAGGCTTAATGTGCTGCTTTATTTCTGAGCCTTTCTTTTACTTAGGTTTCTTTGTAATGCTTTGCATGCCATTGTTTTCCCACTGCAGTATTTTGAATTCTACAAATCTAGGCTGAATCATTCCAATAGTTCCTTATGTCTCAAAGTATGTATTCATGTATGTTGAATGTACTTCAAGGTAAGCTCAGGCCCCAAGTGCTGATGAAAGTGTTGACCTTGGAAATGATATAATTCTCATGATCCATGTGTAAGAAGTCAATTAACTGGATCTTAAAGAGCCTGAATAATGAAATACTTCCTTTATGTTGAGCTTCAAAAATAACAGTTAATGATTTTATTTAGCTCTAGCTAAACCAGTTTAAAGCCAAAGTTTTTGGTTAATGCAACTGGGTTGCAGACTCAACTGTATAACTTTAAAGTTTGGAATCAGTTTATGCCGATAGTAATATAGCACACAGTTACAACAGAATCATAGTTTCATGCAATCCTATTCCCTTTAAAGAATGATGGTCACTGAAGACACCTAGAGGACAGGGTTACAAACTACATGAGTTGAAATATACTGTATCAGAGAGAGCTTATAGTAAATACTAAACTGATTAACTGTAGATTCCCCAAAATTTTTCACTTTGACAATTACTGCTTTAACATACTGATAAAAATATATAGTACGTACATAAATACTGTCTACTGAATAAATGGATTGTGATCTGTTAAAGTTGACATTGACATATATTTGTTAGCCCTACAAGTGCCACAATATTTTTCATAAATTTCATTATTAGGACATAAAAAGGTGATATAAAAATTGAATATGGATGTGGATATGATTTTAAAGTGATTTGCATTGACTTACTGATTAACTTGTCAGTACAACTATGATGTACTTTAAATACCACTGGGTGGAAAGCCGATCAAAAGGAAGAATGATTTTAGTGGCAAATTCATCAGAGGAGAAACAGACTCTTAATACAGTATATAAAAAAGAGCATTAGATCTGAAGTCTTCACTGTAGAGCTGGAGAAAGTGGGGCCTGCCAAATATTACTAGACTGGGACTCCCAGTTACTGTAGAGAGCACAGACCAAGGAGAGGAATGATGGTAATTGCAGTCCAACATCTGGAAAGTCGCATCTTCCCCACTGCTCCTCTAGAATTGCTTTGTCTTTTTATAGTAAGCAGTAACACTGCTGAGGGAAAGCTACAAGTACAGTAATTGCATGTTATAGGTTTGGTTTTAATTAAATTAGATCTACCTCCATGCTTTCTGTTCTGTGGAAGAAACATGGTACATTGTCTCAGAATACATTTTTGCTTGAACATATTAAAAATTAGGTTGCCTTCGCGAATACATTAACTGAAGAATGTTCAGTTGATTAGTCACATATCTACCTTTAAATTTAGCCAGACAATGGAGCAACTATATTACTCCACTACATCTGTATTTTAAACAAAAATAATATAAGATGCTTGCTATCATTTATGATAATTAACTGTAACAAAAATCTTCCACTAACTTAAATCAACAGGAAGGGGACTCTGGAGAATGGCTGGAGCATATGTTTCACAGAGCCTGGTCAATTATTATGACGACCTTAACTCCTAGGAGTGCATGGATGTACTGGCTAGAGGGAATCTGGATCTAAAGCCTACAGAAGGAAATCTAATAAAAGAACAAATAAAAGAGAAAAACGTGATGGTGCCTTAAAGACAAGGCTAGGAAAGCTCACATTAAAAAAGTATAACAGCTAGTGTTTAAGGCGCCATCACGTTTTTATCTTTTTATTTATTTATTTACCTGTAATGCTTCCTTACTGTTGGACATGGTTTTTCCGGTAGTGCTGTATGGAAGTGAGAGCTGGCTCATAAAGAAAGCTGACCACCGAAGAATTGATGCTTCTGAATTGATGGTGCTGGAGGAGGCTCTTGAGAGTCCCCTGGACTGCAAAGAAAACAAACCTATCCATTCTGAAGGAAATCAACCCTGAGTGCCCACTGGAATGACAGATCCTGAAGCTGAGGCTCCAGTACTTTGGCCATCTCATGAGAAGAGAAGACGCTTTGGAAAAGGACCCTGATCTTAGGAAAGTGTGAGGGCAAGAGGAGAAGGGGACGACCGAGGATGAGATGGCTGGACAGTGTCTGCGAAGCAACCAAGATGAATTTGAGCCAACTCTGGGAGGCAGCGGAAGACAGGAGGGCCTGGCGTGCTCTGGTCCATGGGGTCACGAAGAGTCGGACACGACTAAACCACTAAACAACAACGCTTGCACAGACTAACACGGCTTCCCCTTCTACAACTACAGAATGAAATCTGTAAGCTTTGGGACAGAAAAGAGTTTGCTGTAAAAAGGAGTCGGTGATGGGAGAGAGTCGCTGAAAGGCGTGCGGCAACTTCCCTCGAAGCGCAGCATTTTAAACTAGTTTACCTCACAAACGTTTCTGAGGCAAGCCTTCCGCTGGGATGGCCGCGACACCCTTCCCAGCGACTACCCTGTACTCTCTGGCCTGACAGGAATGCAGCGCCGTCTTGCGTTACAGCTCGTTAGTGACGTCACAATGGGCCCCGACACCTCACAAACCGCACGGCAAAAAGCTCAGCGCGCCTCTCACAGCGTTAAAGGGTCGGGAAACTCCCCCCCCGGGGGGGGGGGCAGGGAATTGCTTTGTCGGCCCCGCCTTCTCCGATTTGAAGCCTCGCCTACAGAAAGGCTAGGCGATCGAACTGCGAAGCCCACAGCATCGGAGGTGGCGGGGTTTTAAAAACCGAGGGATGCCCCCTTTCAAAATAAGCATAGAAGGACGTGCTTGTGATGAGACCCGAAAAATAAAAGCCTCGTCGTGGGCGGAGTCATCGGTTCGGCTCTGTGAATGGCTGTGGAAGAGGGAGGCGGCCTCTCAGGAGGCCGGCCGTTGCCTGGGAGACGCAACGCTTTTCGCGCGGGCGGCGCTCCTGTGAATTCCCCAGCTGTGGAGCGGAGGGGGCGGGGCATCGAAAGCCGTGACTCCGCCTCGGCAGTTGGCGTCGGGCGGGTTGACGTCACTGCGGAAGCGCCGCCGTGTTGTGGTGTTTACAGGCGAGGGTCGCTCGCTGGCGGCGGCGGAGCCGGGCTGGGCTTAAGGGCGCTCGGGCCAGAGCGGCGAAGGGGCCGCCTCAGCGCCCATGTGCCCTCAGCCGCCCATGGAGGTGATGGAGGGGCCGCTTAACCTGGTGAGTGGCGACGAAGGAAACTGGGCTTCCCAGTGACGAGCTGACGTGGCTGGCCGCCGGGCGAGCGCTGCCGCTCCGCCGCGGGAGGGAATGTTTGGCTCCTTGGCTTGAAGCGGTAGGCCCTGCCCTCTCGAAACGTCCGCAACAACCCCGTAAGATAGGGCCATGGAGGTGGTGGTCGCTGCCTCTTTGCAGTTGAAGAGAACTCCCCAGGCCACTCCTCCCTTCCTGACGAGCACGGCTCGGGTTCAAGACTTCCTGTAATGTAGTTCAGCCGGTTAGCCTTCGCGGATTCACGCAAGCCCTAAAACGGGCGTTGGCGCCTCCAGGCACGGTCGCTTCTTGGTCCCATTTCCCCCATCGTCTCCAATCTTAGAATGCAATTTTTCCCTTATTTTTCAAGGAAGGGTGGGCAACTCGTGGGTATCTAGATGTTGTTAAACTACAAGTCCCATCGTTCCTTACTGTTGGACATGCTGGCTAAATGGGATGAGAGTTGTAATCCAACAACATCTGGATGGCTGGAAGTGGCTGTCCATTGACCCTGAACTCCAATGTTTGTCAGCTGTGATTAGGGCTCAGGAGTGGTGGCAGATACAATCCAGCAAACAATCCAGAGGTTCAGCACTTTTACTGTGCATAGGTTGAGTAATGGGAGAACTAGGTTGCTTACTGACCCTGGTGATCAGCGACTAATCTACCCATGTCAGATTCACAGAACTTCCAAACTAAGAGATGCAGCTGTGGGCAGATATGTGATGGTGGGGTATTGATGTTTCATGTCTAGCTTGAGAGTTTTGTGAAGCTGTCTCTTGTGCTAGAGGTATACATAGTGTGATCCATCAGGTTCTTGTATGTTCCAGTACTGGTGGAAAACAGTTGTGAGAAGGATGGGAGGGAGTAATAAACCTAGATTGCATTCTATGGTTCCTGAAGTTGATAAGTCAGTAAGTTTTATTATGATGATCACCACTACTGCCACTGCACACTTGTGTCTTAACTGACAGTTGTGGGGAGGTAATGCCAGATGTGGTTTGTGGGTTTCCCAGCGTGCACTCTCTGTGGGGTAAGTAGCTGCAGTCCTCTTGATGCTACAGTTTCATTCAGCACAGCCAATAGTGAATGGGTATGGAGTTGCAGTCTGAAAACATCTGAAGTTCCATCCTCTAAGTGGTTGGCATTTTATCCATAGTGCAGAGAAGACAGTTGAGCAGAGTCTGGGAGGAAATTCTGCACCATGCCTGTTTTGGCATCTGTGCAAAATGGAGCTTGAATTTACGTATATAAATTCCCAGTTTAGGTTGTGTCATGCACACAAGCTACTTCACTGGACTTGGACAAGCAGTTCTGTGATAGAATAGATGGGATACAGTCATCACACTTGAGTTTACATATATAGATACATACTCTTCCAGCCTTGATATAAATATTGTGTATGATTGAGAACTGAATCATACACAGTTTGAGAAAGAACAGATAGAAGCAGCTAGGAATTACTGCTGATTTCTAGGTATGTGATGCACACTAGTACTGAGTACTTTTGTTGGACTTACAGCAGAAAGTACCTGTTTAGAGGAAAGACTATTAAACTGTCAACAAACTTGATAGTTTAGCTTGAAATGTGTACTTGTCCATTCAGTGCTGGGGTTTGGGGCACCAGCCCCCTGTGTACAGTAGTTCAAAAGCCAAGTATAACTCTTGTACCCCCTAAATGTAACTACAAAGCATGAACAGTTTATTAACACATACACACAGACCTCCTGCAGCCTGCATCAGCCTCTCAGCATGTGCCAGTACTGTCTCTGGCTACCATGTGGAGCTGCCATGCCAGTAGAGGAAGCTGGCTGGGCTGCTGCCATTGGATCGAGGACCACCACACCACCAAAAAAGGAGCCTCAGTAAGTGTGAGACCCGTCTTTCTCAGGCCACTTCGTGGAGATGAATACCATGTGGAGCTGCCATGCCAGTAGAGGAAGCTGGCTGGGCTGCTGCCATTGGATCGAGGACCACCACACCACCAAAAAAGGAGCCTCAGTAAGTGTGAGACCCGTCTTTCTCAGGCCACTTCGTGGAGATGAATAACAGCACAGTATTTATTGAACATGATTGATTGAAATATTTGTTTTGTTAATTGAAAAAAAATCCATGTATAACCAAAACCTTAATTGAAAAAAAACCATATATAACCAAAACGGTGCTACTCAGACCTGTGCAAGTGTAAGCTGTACTGTATTTAATTTATAACTGAACATACTGTGATATGATGAAGCTGTGTATCAGCTAGTACTGATTTGAGTATATATACTTAGGAAGCTTCATAAAATGCTTGAGCTGCAATCCAGCTAAAACTTTGGCTGAAGTCCAACAAAGCCATATGTAATTTGCTGCTAGATTAAGAAGACAGAAAATAAGAGTGCTGCAACTTGACAAGGAAAAGAAGCAGTCATGAGGAGGAGAGACAATAGAACTGCTTTACTTCAGTGTCTTGACAATGAATACAAGTTGTGATGTTATTTCTCTTCATTCTGATTTACAGACATTATTCACAAAGTTGAAATATTTTTAAAAACCATTAATAAGTTGATGTTTGTAATTTTGTAATTCATAGAGCATGTAAGTTGTTGGGTTGTGTTGTTGTTGGTACAGAAATAACTTTATTTAAGGATAAAATAAAGAAGCAGGTTAAAGTTTCCCCACCAATGTGGGTGGTCATATGCCAGACCTGTTTTTTCCCACTAACTGGAGTAAGTGTGATCTGATGGTGACAGACCTTGTGTCTGTCCCCTTGTCATGGTCGGATCACCACCTAATAAAATGTAACCTCTCAGTGGCCCTCCCATCTTTCAGGGAGCACGGATCTATTATAATGGTCCACCCTCGAAGGCTACTGGATCCTATAGGATTCCAGGATACCATGAGAGGGATTCCAGAAGATTTGGCTGTCGAGGCTCTGGTGGATGTTTGGGTTACGGCCGCCAATAGGGCTCCCGACACGATCGCTCCTAAACACCCTGTCCAATGCAGAGCTCGGCCAGTGTCCTGGTTTAACCAGGAACTACGTGTGATGAAGCAAACTAGGAGAAGGCTAGAGAGCAAGTGGAGAAAGAAATGACCAGATAGGCGGGGTATAAATAGAATAAAAATAAATAAACCGATGGGTTATAACAGAGAAGCTGTCAGGGTTGCAACCAACCATTATCTGGCCAAGATAAGGGCTGCTAGTTGAGCTCACCTTGCTGACCAGATAAGTGAGGCTTCAAATCAGGAGGTGGAAATTTTCCATATAGTTCACGACCTATCTGGAATTGGTTGGGGTGAAGGGCCACCTTCTAGTATCTCACCTGACCAATTTGCAGCATTTTAAAAATCTAAAGTGGAGGCCATCCGCCAGGAGCTTTCTCCTTTTTTGGCGACAGTGGATCGAGCAGAGATGTCCAGCGCTCCGCCTTGCCTGGTGAGTTTTGTTCATTTTCAGCCTGTGACGCCAGACACTGTGGACAAGGTGCTAGTTGGCTGTTGGGCCACCACCTCCTCTCTTAACCCTTGCCCGTTCTGGCTAATCAAAGCAGCCAGGCCCACAACAACTGAATGGGCCACAGCGATAATTAATGGGTCTTTCCGGGAGGGCAGGGTTCCCTCTGCCCTCAAGGAGATGCTCATTAGGCCCATTAAAAAGAAACTCAATCTGGCGGCGGACAATATAGGCAATTACAGGCCCGTCGCTAATGTTTCTTTCATTAGCAAAGTGGTAGAGAGGGTGGTGGCCGATCAGCTTCAGGCGCACTTGGATGAAACAAATGCCCTGGATCCGTTCCAGTCGGGCTTCAGAAACTGCATTGGTCGCCCTGTTAGATGACCTATTGAAGGCAGCCGATGGGAAAAATGTCCCTGTTGGTCTTCCTCAATATCTCAAGCGCCTTTGATACCGTCGACCACGGTATCCTCCTGAAGAGGATCTCCGAGTTGGGAATTGGTGGCCTGGCATTGGTCTGGCTCCGATCCTTCTTGGGGGATCGTCCTCAGAGAGTTCAGCTTGGGGAGAGTGAGTCGGCTCGTGGAGCCTCAATTGTGGAGTTCCGCAGGGCTCGACTATCTCCCCAATGCTCTTTAACATCTATATGAGGCCACTGGGTGAGGTCATCAGGGTGTGTGGAGCATGGTGCCATCAGTACGCTGATGACACCCAGCTCTACATCTCCTTTTTTCCAAATGCAGGTGATGCAGTTCTGTCCCTTCATCACTGCTTGGAGTCTGTACTGCAATGGATACAGGAAAATGGGCTGAGGCTCTCAGACAAGACGGAGGTCCTGAGGGTGGGTGGTTTGGGAAACTCCCTCTCTTTTTTGGGGGGGTGACTCTCACTGTGAAGAGTGAGGTTCGCAGCTTGGGCATCCATCTGGATCCAGCGCTCACCATGGAATCCCAGGTGGCGTCAGTGGTCCGTTCCACATATTTCCATCTTTGGCAGATTGCCCAGCTGCGTGCTTATCTTGATGTTGGGGCACTCACCACTCTGGTCCACGCGCTCGTAATCTTGAGGTTAGACAACTGCAATGCACTCTACGTGCCGCTACCTTTGAGATCGATGCGGAAACTCCAAATGGTGCAGAATGTGGCGACCAGACTTCTTAGTGGGGTGAGAAAACATCAACATATCACTCCCACTCTGGCCGCCTTACACTGGCTGCCCATTCGGTTCCGCGTTGATTTCAAAGTTCTAATGCTTACGTATAAAGCCCTAAACGGTTTAGGGCCTCGATATCTGGCGGAACGCCTTCTCCCACGTACATCTACTCATTTCACTCGATCTAGCCAGGAGGTGAGGTTAAGAAGCCTAACGTCGAGGGAGGCCCAGAAGGGAAAAAAAGAAAAAGAAACCGGGCCTTCTCGGCAGTGGATCCTCGCCTTTGGAATAACCTCCCTTCTGAGATCCATATGGCCCCTTCGCTGGGCATTTTCAAAGGCCAATTGAAAACCTGGCTGTTTAGGCAAGCCTTCCC